GCGTTCTGCTGGCCCATTTATTAGGAGAAACTGTAGAGGGCTATGGTAGCAGATACAGAGTTCTGAATCACAAATTTAATGACAGTAAGGATTATTTTTGTAGATGTAATTATCAATAATATATCAACTGGATAAAATCTCTAAAAATCCTGTTGTTTTTTTCCAAGTCTTGGTTCTGCTTAATAAAATATAAGTTGTATCAAGTAATTCAGTCTGTCAGTTAAGGCTCCCACGTTTACAAGTTTTTGTATCTGAGTATGTTGACACTTAATTTGAGTCCTGTTGAGGAGGGTATAAAAATTACCTAAATTGTCCATACTACCATGTGTCTGGACAGATATTACATGGCGTTGATTTAATCCAGATAAAACCTATGGTGTTATAATTTTTTATTTTTAACATGATATACAAAATTTCAGAAGCAAATGCTGAATTTTTGGATATTTTATTCAAAATTTATTGTTTACAATACACTGCAAATGATTATACATGTAGCTAGTATTAGTATAAGAGGTCAAGTAATGCACTATTCCAAATTTTCAAAGGCAATATTCTTTGAATGGACATTTAAGTATTACCATTTATATTAGTTGAAATAAATTTAATTGCAAAATTATAGAAGAAACATGCATTTATTGTTGATAAAAAGGCGGCTGACTGATTGACAACCACTAAACAAAGAGGAAAACTGAATAGGGCACTTTTGGGGCCATCTGGGTTTGATGGTTGTCCGGTTTTGATAGTCCCTGACTGTTACTCTCAATATGCAATACATGCATTAACACTTTTCATTATGTTCAATGTAAAAAATCTATTTATAAAAAGTCTGTATGTAATTCAATAATAGTGTAACACTAATTCTCAAAAGATAATACCATTTTTTTTTGTTCGATCTTTTTACAAACTTCACCATTGGAATCAACAAATATTTAGGTTTCTCGTTGAAAGTTTCAATACAAATTACAATTATTTTTTAAGCTTTTATTCTTAAAGTTTAAATTGTGATCACCTGGCACCCGAAGTTACCCTGCAGTTTATATAAAAGATAAAATGAGTTGCAAAATTACTCCAAAGAACACCAACCAAAAACAAACAATAAAGTATTTTCTTTTGAAAATGTCATTGATGTGTTAATAACACTCATTTTCAGTATTGAAAATATTACTTTTCACAAATAGCAGAAAAATAGAAGGGTTGAAACTTTGAAAGCAAATAAAAAGTAAAAACATTTCTTAAATACAACAAAATGACAAAAAGTGATATACTTATCCCATATATGAGCCGTGTCATGACAAAACCATCATAATGTGTTTGCGACCAGCATGGATCCAGACCAGCCTGCGCATCCGCGCAGTCTCATCAGGATCAATGCTGTTTGCTTACAGACCCTAAAACAAGTAAAGAAACTGATAGCGAACAGCATGGATCCTGATCAGACTGTGCGGATGCGCAGGCTTGTCTGGATCCATGCTGGTCGCAAACCCATTATGTTTTTTTGTCGTGACACGGCTCATATGTATTTGAACTTATATAGATATAACACTTATTCATATGTCACAGGAATAACAAGTGTTACAAACAAAAAAATTTGGTCAGCAATAGAGGACTGTAACTCAAATGCTACAACATGTGTTTGTAGTAACCAGGATCTGTAAAAAAAAATGGGAGAATCTCACTGTCAAACACAGGGCTATCTATTATGATTATTATGGCTACATGCCTGTATGTCTGTATGTATGGTTTACAATTATGACCAAATCATTCAATTCAGAAATTGCATATATTTCACAAAATGTGTAATGTTTTCATGTCTCGGTTCATCTTACTAAATTCTGTATTTAAGTACTACATTTACTAATACTATCAATATTACATAAATTCTGTCAATCAATTTACTGTATTAGTTCTATTTATAGATTTTAAATATAAGAAGCCTAATTTATCTTACATACTGATAAACTTTATAACAAAGCAGTTTATGATAAATTGGCTGAAATAATTTGGAGTATTCAAATAGTAGCTAAAATAAAAAAAATGTTTTATGTCTTAATAGAAGTTATTTCTTCATAATTTCAGTTTCTGTGACCCAGAACTTCTTGAGTTAAAGAAGAAGAAACTTAGAATACAAATTAAATACTATGAATCACTTCTTAACAAAGAAAAATAGTGCATTCTACATGTAAAGCACTGTATATATCCCCTTATTAGATATTTGAAATTTATAAGGTTAAACAATAAACTTAGAATATTAAAAACACTTCCTGAATTTACAAGATATTAATCTTGTCAAAAATCTAGGTCTGATTTAAGTTAATAAGAAGTATTCTCATATAAAAAGGAATTCAACTTCTGCATAGGTTTGCACTGAGAAACACTATTTGTATCTTGATAATATTTTTTTTAAATCTTACCCAGTCAATTTTCAAGGTTGATATTATAATTTATACAGATGCTGGGGTGGCATAAAAAAGATGTAAGGGCAATGATAGATATTTATTAAGAACTCAAAACTATTTAAATGCAATTTTTAATACAGTTTCATTACTTTCTGTTCAATTTATAAATATAAAAGACAGTGGAAAATAGTTAAAATGATTTTTGTTAAAAAGCCACTTCCAAGTGTGTAATAAACATCAGAGTCAATTTGTACTAAATTATCAATCAAGCTACTGTTATGACATGATGTCTGTTGACAGTCAAAGATTTCTGTCAACAAAATCTTTTCCCACAGAACAGATTTTAACAATGTTCAACTGAAATGATTCTTATGTGACCCTCTACAAATTTACATAAGATTTTTAAGAAGGGCACAAGTACTAAAATGGATTTATTCTAAAATTGATAGTCTTGTTTTAATAGATTTCAAGCCTGCAAGCTCTTAAACACAATTATTATACGGCCACCACTAAGTGGAGCATTATAATTTGGTCATGGTTCGATGATTTTTGTCAGAGTTATGCCCCCTTTTACTTTAAAAAAAGGAAATTTTCAGTTCCCATTCATTATCTCCCCAACGGTTGTACATGCCTTGAACTTTGTATAAAAATAGTTTGTGTAAACATTGAATAGTTTTAAGGGCTTTGAACTTAAAATGAAAAAAATAATTTGTGCAAACAAATTTGGAACTACATTTAAATATTAGAACATCTGAAATTTTGGCTGCATGAGGGGGCATCCATGGCATGACGGCACATTTCTAGTTAATGATGATGTTACCCCAAAAATTTAATGGGGTCATGTATTGAATATGACTGGTCATCTTATGAAATTTTACAGCAAAAGGTTGATCAATACAAAAGTTATTTAGAGGAAACCATTTTCAGTTTTAAGGTAAAAGTTACCTTGACCTTTGACCCTGTCAACCCATTAATCAACAAGAGCTGTCACAGGAGACAGCGAAGCTCGACTAATAAAATGCTGGACGCAGTAAGGAGGACAAAACTATGAAAGAAAAATCAATTATGTATAATTAAGTATTAAGTTATAGTAAAAATATAACATTTGTTAACATAAATTCCAAGATCAAGGGGAATAATTCTAGAAATAATGTAAATATATTTGAAGTATGAGGTTGATTCCTTAAGAAATAAAGAAGAAACAGTAAGAAATAGTATTTTTTGAGGAAAATTCTAAGTTCAAGGGGAGATAAATCTTAAAATATTGGTGCTAGAGTTATGACCCTTGTCACATACGATGGGGATGATGATAAGGTACATATATTTGAAGTATGAGGTTGATCCCTTTAGAAATAAAGAAGTATAAGTAAAAAATAGTATCTTTTAAGAAAAATTCTAAGTTCAAGGGGAGATAAATCTGAACATATTGGTGCTAGAGTTATGAACCTTGTCACATAAGATGTGGTTGATGATAAGGAACATATATTTGAAGTTTGAAGTTGATACCTAAAGAAATGACAAAGTTATAGTGAAAAATATTTTACTGCACCAAAACTTTAATCTAAAATCTGGACGCGGACCCCGACGCCGGGGCGAGTAGGACAGCTCTCCATATACTTCGTATAGTCGAGCTAAAAAGCGTTTTCCACTTAATATTAGCAATCATTATATGAAATTTGTTGATCATGGGCCAAATGGAACTTAAGTTATACTTAAACAAATTACTAAAATGAAATTATAAAATTTAAGAAAACATGCTCAGGCTTACTTTTTTATTATATGAAACATTACTAAATCTTTTATATTGTTACAGACAAATAATTAAATAATCAATGTCGAATATCCAGATAAAGTGTCACTTCATTTATATTGGTGATTTATATAAAATATGTATATTATTGTCAATCTTCACCAAATATATTCAACTTTGACATTATGTATAACATAAGATGTTAGTGATTAGTCATAACATGATCCATGATTTTATAACTGTTCAAATGAATGTTCTGGTGCATCTTCTTTGTCTTGAAGCAGCCAAATGAATATGGCATCCTCTGTCAAACCTGAAATTCAGGAAAATCTAAATCAATTACATGTATAAAGTTTTTATTTTAAATTACTGTTGAAAGTTCTGGTATTGGCAAGGTTTAAACAAATTATGCCTGAAGCAGCCAACTTCATATGAAACTAAAATTATATGTGAAAAAATAACTTGTTAATTAAACTAGTATTTAATAGTTTTGGTTTATCAAATAGTTGGTCAACTTATATGTCATCTTAATAAGTTAAATGTTAATTTGACAAATATAAAGCAAAGAAGAAATATCTTTACTTAACCAATAACTAGGATATGTTATTAGGGGTGCTAACAAAAAGGTTTATAGCTCACATCAGTTAATGCTTGTAAAATCTTAAATATTTAAGTAGAATAGTTTTACTGTTACACATGTACAATACTTTTACTGTTAGTGTTACACATGTACACTTCAATTTATTATTGTTTAATTTTTCTTGCATAATTTGTAAAAGAATATAGTCAAATACATGTGTACATGTAAGTTCTATGTATACTTGTTTATTATGATAGTGTGTATATATGTGATATGTAAGAAAGTACATTTGAGCCGCATCACGACAAAACCAACATAGTGCGTTTGTGACCAGCATGGATCCAGACCAGCCTGCGCATCTGTGCAGTCTGATCAGGATCCATGCTGTTCGCTTACCAACCCTATTACAAATAGGGAAACTGATAGCGAACAGCATGGATCCTGATCAGACATGTTGGTCGCAAACGCACTATGTTGATTTTGTCGTGACGCGGCTCATTTATATTCTCTTCATGAATAAACATATAAAACATTACAAACCAAATTGCTTATATCAATTATACTAACCGGAATTAAACATTTAAGCACTGCAATAGATGAAATATGGGAAGTTTGGCAATACACAATACCTTCTTAAATCTTCCCACCTGAAATGTAAATTTAGGATTTGATAAAAGTATAATGACCAATAAGCAGCACTGAGTTTTTTATTTTTGGAATTTCTTGTTCATAAATCCTTCCAAAGAAAGTTTATCTGTGGCAAGGTATAAAAAATTACCACATGCTGTATTATTATACCAGTATGCTAGAAATAAATTGAAATGAGTTTTACGACCACCAAATACAGCATCAAATCACTATATTCTTATTATGAATTTTTCAATGCCATAAGTACACAGTTAACTGTTCACATGATATTGAAATGGTAAATAAATGATTCATAAAAGATAATATAACATTAAATTATGGTTAACAGAATTATTGTTACCTGTAAGATACATATTTAAGCTCTGCTTCCTCTAGAAATTGTTTGGCACATACATGTAGATTTCTACAGCCTTCAAATGTTAGATTGCTAGTTTTTATGCTGTTGTCCTTTCTGCAGAGATCTAGTTAAATGGGTTCTCCAGTTCATTAGACAAAATTTGTCACAAATGCTTGACACAACTCTGTTACATTGATTCTTAGCATCAACATGTTGAAGAATAGTTCCATGTATTAATTACTTCTCTTCAGAAAATATCATTCTGCACAATGCTATGTAAAGTTTAAATTAAGTTCCCTTGTTGAATAGGTGTAACTGAAGAATTGTTAAAATTTACAGTTGTTTTTGACTTGTTAAACAATTTCAAATGTTTGTATAGTGTCACCTCTGATCCGACATATTGCTATACTTTTTGGTTTCAATTGTTACAATCTTTCAATGAATGTCAAATTTCGAAACTAGGGATTTCATTTTGTGGGTCCATCTGGACCTATACTTGTACACTTTAGTCAGTATTAGTCTATATAATTCCTTATAGTACATGTGGAATGGATTTAATTAGTGGATTATAAGTTTTATATAACAAACTCCAGATATAATCTACACCTCCTTGTCCAAAACCATCAAGTGTCCATTTTCACTGCTTGAAATTCAAATTATTTTACATCTGTTTTTATAAGTATATAGCAACCACTTATCTCATATATGTCACACTTTATTCATCACATAATTTAACATATATCCGGATACTGAACATCCGAAAACTGCAACTTTGATATTTGAATATCGTTCACCTTCAGCCACTGGTACATGATAAAATATCTATCGTCTGGTTAAATCTCACATCATCCTTGAAATATTCCTTATTTTATAATCAAACTTAAATGTTTGCTATTCGCGTCTTTACATTTAAATTTAACATTTATTGACGTGAAGATGTCAAGGTAAAATTCATGACTGAAAGTCGGTTTCGTACGTACGGTAAATTCACGGACCCTATATTAACGGGTAAATAAAAAACGGAGCAGTGTACTAGTCATAAAATGATGTGTTTGACAATTCTCCCTACCTTTTAAGAACAATAAAAGGACTTTCAGACACAAATATTGGATAGAGCTAACGCTTGAACGCCATTTTGTTTCCTGTAAATTTTCCCTTAAAAAATTCCTTAAAAGTTAAGGGAGCATAGGAGGTATCTTAAAAGTTAAGGAGAAATTCGACAGAATTTAAGGGAATTTTGACTTAAGATTTTTTATGAATAAGACTTAAGATTTTCCTTAAAACTTAAGGGAAAACTGTATGATTTTAAGGGAAAACTTCAAGTTAAGGAGAAAATTTTCACTTAAGATTCTTTATGAATACGGCCCCTTATTTTTATGCAGATCTGATGACGTTTGTATGTGTTTCGGCTTCTTTATAAATCGGATTTCCCGAGAAAACTATTTCTAGCAATGTAATCAAACCAGTTTTTGCATAGGCATTAGAAGAAGTATCAAAATACCGTTAAACATGGAAGATAAACAAATTGTTGTTTTTTGGTAAGCAACAAAATGTTTAAAGCAAAAAATGTTTAGAGTCAAATTTAAGATCGTATTGCCAATTTACCTGTCGGATATTTGGATAACGCCATGATAGTTCTCGAAATCGTGAAAATTACTTACTCAGTATTGGTTTTTCCAGGGTTAAAATTAGAAACTACGTCGCTTACAAAATTATTAAAGCTCGCCGATGATTGGCTGTGTGAAAAGTCACCAGAAATAATTTCCTACATGGTCACGCTCAGATCTAAAGGCGCTGCGTTATTTAGAGCTGTTTTTAATCAGATTGATAAGCAAATAAACAAACTGACTTGAAAAATATGCTTATTTTGGTCACAAAAACTACTTGAACTTAAACAAACATTACATTTAGTAATCATACAGTTAAATTATTGAACCATTTGTTAAGATGTACCTGATAATGCAATCACGTTGATTGAAACATAGATATGGGAATTATAAGGACAAGATGTTACATTTCCAACATATGTAACTCAACCGAATAACAAACATAGATCATTAATAGGTATACTTTAAAGCACTGGTGATATATTACTGTTAACCGATTGAATTACTTGCATTTTTCTTTTAATGTGAATTACAACGGGTAAACAAATTATATCGCTAAACACCGATAAACGTGTATGGTGAAATCTGAAAAATCAGCTTAAAAATTAAAAATATGTCTCTATACGTTTTCTGTCATTCACCTTTGTTTAATATAACATTCTTTGAATAATACGAATTCAGATAAATTAAATGCTTATCATAAAAAAAGGTTTGATGCGTTTTACTATGTTGTTTTCTTCATTTTTCCAGGTACACTGTAAGGCTGATGTTCTATGGAACTTTACAACAATACCTGTTAGATCGGTGTCAAATGAAAGTTGCGTGTCTCCTGAAAACATGACCGGACTGATGACATATTTTTAGCGACAGATCGACTTGTCTTATTTTGTTAAAGTCTTTTTGTCATGATACCTTCAAATTCATTTTGTAATATTGTTTTCTTCTTCCAAATTGTCTTAGTTCTTTTTAGTTTACATGCTCTGTGTTAAATTTCATACCTTTATTGTCGATATAGCCTTTAAGTTTACCAATGCTATGTAAACATTTTTCTAAATAAATTTTAATAAAAGTTATATCCGAAATTGTTTTATCCGAAATTCTATGAAACAACTTCAACAAAATTAAAGGTCAATTTGCAGCTCGTTCTGAATGAGTCAGTGAAAGGTACAACTTCTCTCACACCCTTTGGCACCGGTTTAATCAATATTCAATCTTAAAAAAACAAAGAGTATTGAACCTAAGTTTTCTTATAGAATAAAAGAAATATAAAGCCACTAAGATATGGCATGGGGAAATTTTAAACAATTGTTTCCTTTTTGAATAATAAGAATTCTGAAAAAAAACAATTAAGTTTAAGATGTTTCAGTTAAACGTTCGAAATTTAAATAACAAAGCAGACTTTTACTCAGTGTTACGACAGGATGCAATAAATAAGCAATAACTTTTCAATTTCTTCGTTTTCAATTTTTCATTTATTATTCTGTAAATGTCCTGAAAACAAATACACTGGGCAGTCACAGGAACAAAACTTTTCTCCTTATAAAGAATAAAAAAGTTGTTTCCTAACTTGATATATTTTACAAAAGTTGTCAAAGTTAACTCCGGAAACGTTAAAGAACATCTGAAATGAATGACGTAGACTTGTTTCAATCATACAATATCCACAATATCTGTTATTATAATTTCCATGGTTTGTTCAAATTACATAACTTGTTTTAAACCTTCTCTGTGATTTTGACGGCGTTCAACATATATACATGTATTTTACGCTTCAAACCAAAAATATATAGACAATTGATACAGAACTTTATGTTGAGACTTTGAAAAAATGTCATTTTAGCGTAATTTGAGTACATAAGATCATTTTAATATTTTTGTGATTAATTTGCCTGAGTATCTCCTTGAAACAAGAAATAATTTGTAATTTAGGAAAGAGTGAGCTTTCATTCGCAAAAAACGACAAAGTTGTGAGTTTTGGATAATGAACAATGATTTTGTATGCAGACAAAGGGTCATATTGCATTCAACATCCATTCTAATGGCATGTTATTGGTCTTTGCAAGTGTAAGTCAATGAAAAATAAAAAAAATCATCATTTGCAATTGATTAATTGCAACCTCTTGTGTTTAAGGTCAAGGTCATATAAGAATAATTCAACATGCTGGTTTTGTCGTTTGTTTTATTTTTGTCAACGTATAAATCCAATCTTATATAAATGATATGATTAAGTAAATTTCAGCAAATAACAATAATTTGGCCTTCACAGTCAAGGTCAATTTAATCCCAAGGTCATATTAGAATAATTCAACATGTCAGATTTGTTATACGTGTTTTGTCCATATAAATACAATCTGTAAATAAAAATAAACATGTCAGTTTTGTGACTTCTGTCCAAGTATAAAAATCAATCTGAGTAATGACCCATTTGTTGCAATAACTGTCAATGGCAAATAAAAGTCAAGGTCAAGTTAAATTATATCTTTTTTTTTAACTAAATGGTTTGTCCCTAAGATTGTTTTACCAAAAGTAAGACAATCTTTTCATTACCGACAAATATATAGCCAATTATAGCAAACTTAAGCATAATTCGGACACAGTTTTTGCGGATGGATGTACTGACTGGCTTTCGGACAGTCCGGTCCGACGGACGGAGGGCATAAAAATTTTGAAATAAAAACAAGAGTACATGATTTTTTTCAACATTAATAAATGGATTCGAACCTACATTTGTTAGGACAACTGAACGGGAAAGGTGTGGTTTATAGAAAAAAGTCAATAGTTCACAGACAAAGGACTTATAGTAACCCGGCGGGACAGTCACCTTGATCAAGATTAACTTTACTGTGTTCAACCAGGACCTTCGGTATTTTCATTCAGAAAAAAAAAGAAAAAGATTACAAATTATTCACATCAATGTACTACTCGTGCGAACAGGAACTTCCAATATATTTATCGTTGACATATTCCTTTGTAAGTGAAAGCAAACATAGAAAAACGCTTAACGTTCTGAGGTTTCCTGCATTCATCAATCATCAATTGCGTATGTGCATAATATTAAAGTTGAAATTGACTGAAAGCTGCAATTATTTAATCAGTTTTTATATTGTCGTTGCAATGAAAATTTTGCTTGAGGCAACATATCAACATAGCAACATAAAGACTTGTTTTTATATCATTTGACAGTACATTATATCTTTATCACTGACTATGAACTTAAGGGTTTTGTGGCTTTTGCGAAGTACAATCTAATATAATTTATCTAAAAATAAAAATAATCAGACAAATATATAACATGTAAAAACCGTGTGACTTCAAAAACTTTTTGGTAATCTAAACTCGTAATATTATGATTACAATAAAAAACTTAAGATGCTACTAACTTTATGCTTTGAGTGGATTACTGATTTATTCGTGAAAAATTATATTTGATAATTTCACAGTGAAAAATATCAAATACTAATTTCACACTTTTCAATGACGATACTTCTCTTTAAAGATTTTCCCCATGTGGTACCTCAATTTTATTTTTGTTGACAATACTGACATTATCAGGGCTGTTTAGAGCAAAACAAAGCTGAAGTTAAAAAATAACTTAAATTTCAAAAGTAATAAAAAGAAAAAAATACTTCAATTCATTCAAATTACCAATCACCAAATATCGTCCCTATTTTTTGTTTGTTTCATTTTTACAGTCTGAAAAATACACTTCCTACCACATGCAAGCTGCTCTTCATGACATTTGGGCATATCCTTCGAGCAATAACTGACTTTTGCAATATAAAAACTTGAAAAGCAATGGCAGTCATCAACCAGACGAATAAGTAAACATACCAGAATTTGTAAAATAGCCTCTTAACAATTCCATGTTTTCCTAATTCCTAGGCGCTATTTTAATGTTTGCACATCTGTCAACGATTTATTATTGTCTTTAATAATCCTCAAATAAGTTTGCTTTCTTATAAAATATTTATGACTAACAAATCCAAATGATACCTTTTTGAATCAAACACAATTATTTTCCTCCCTTTAAATAAACAACTTTTAAAAATGGCAGCCATTTCACTAAAAGCCTGGTCTAATATAAATTGCCGTAGGTAACAGAAATAAGATCGGAGGGTGTGACTTTTCTTCTACTACAATATTGTTTCTTTTTTATTATTTCATCAAACGATCATTCATATTTTTGAAATATGATAAATAATAACATCGCCATTTAACGTTGATTGTCGAACTTAATTTCAGTTCAAGACTTCCTGTATTTAGAAATTCGACTAATATAAGGCTACCAGTGGGGAAAACAGATTTAGATATTAATTTTGATATTGGGGAAATTTCATTTAATCTTGTTTTTAAGCATAATAATATGCAAAAGATAATTAAGAAACATACTCCAAAAATCGTATTTTTATGTTATTATTATTAGCCAGATTTGAGTGAAATAGGTTGCAACACATTGCAATTCCCCGGAAAGAACTTAAATTAACTTAAATTGTGCACCCAAGTCAATGGCCCAGGCTCAAATGGTGCATAAGTAGCGGTAAAATATTAACAGTCCCTTTTTGTAAAAAACCTTAGTGGAGTCTCTTTGAATTTATTTGAATACACAGTTCCATTTTTATTTTTCCTAAAATAAATACATCACGATTGAAATGACGGTGCAACATTTCAAAGCATATTTAAATTTGCAAGAACTAAATAAGACATAAATCAGAACATTAAACATATCATCGTTTGTCACAGGTTTTTTAATAGTATGTATATACGGGAAACTTGTTAATTCAGCGGGATACACCAGAATGATAAGTGTCATTGTCATCTTAATATAGAATTAAACGTTGTTTGCATTTATGGAGCTTAAAGTTTGTTTAAGTTTAATATTGCTGATTCATTTTGTTGTTGCACCAATACCATCCCCAGAATGGCGTGATGTTAGCATACAACTATGGCGGACTGTCGGATCCGCTCACTTTGCAGCAGATGTCCTTGGTGTGGCATTCGAAGATATGATTTCAGCTCAAGAGAGGATAAATGTACGTTTTCTTTTGCAATTTTGATAAATTATGTAATGTCTAAGATGCATGTCTTATACAAAGGTAATTAGATTTAAGCGTTTGTAGAAATTGTAACAATGATATTATTTTGACAACTTGTAAGTAGTTTTTATTTTACTGAGAAGGACCATTCAAAACGCAAGAATTTAAACGAATTCACACAAGCATTGATAAGAAAGACATTAGTATAAACTTTCTGAAGTAATAAATATGCCATTTTTAACGCTCAAATGATATGGAAACATGTTCATGTTGTCTCTCGGTCATTGAAAAGTTTTCTTTTATTGTTACTCACATTTCATTAAAAATGTGACATCATCATTTAAGTAATGTTTAAAAGTATTCGGCAATTTACGTTTGAAAGAGGTATAATTTATATCGTCCTTTGCGGTATAACAGATTATATTTGATCCGTTTAATTGATCTCGGACTTTTAGTATAATAGTCTTTCTTCTACCAATTCGGATAATAAGCAGACGTTCACAATAGAAGAAATTCGTAATTTAATTACCGGTTTGTAATCAAGGAAAGCCTGTTGGGTGGATCGGCCGCCAGGATATGAGTAACAACATGTAACAAATTGCGTTAAAAATAAGAAAAAACAAGACACGTGCTGTATTTTTTTTTATTTATGTATAATGTTTAAGCCTTACCGATATCTAAAAATTCAATAATGATTTAATAAAGTAATTTCTGCTATTTTGATGGTTTCTGGCGTACACTAATTTGAATGACTTAAACTTATCTCTTTCAAATGTTATTTTACTATACAATATTTGAATTAAGAGAATTTGACATTCAACCATTACTAAATTAATAATATTATTAGCTATTCGACCACATTTTAAACATGTTAATGGCCCTTTACAAAACAATAAGATATGAATATGTCGTTCAAGTAATTGTGAAGCCAAATATTTTAATTTTAATTTGTTCTCTTTCAGCCGAAGCCAAACACTGATGAGTATCGGGTAAAGTTTACGGCGACATCCAGTACAGGTGAATCAGTAAGTTTACAATATGCAAATTACAGAGAGATTTGTTTGATTAAAGATGGCAGTTTATCATTTCACTTTTTGATAACTTATGATAATTATGCGGCTACAGATTCAGGATCTTTTGCTATGGTATCATGAAAGAGAGACTTTAACAAAATAAGACAATTTATTCGATCTGAATGCAAAAATTTAAGTTGGTGAGTTAACATAAGGTAATATTTCCCATATATAAGGACACAAACCAATCTTGGTGTTAGCTATCTTTTCCCATAAAAACGGTACCCATTTTTACTTTGTTATTTTCTTCTTTTTTTCAGGTACACTGTAAGGCTGATGTTCTGTGGGACCATTTAGCAACACCTTGGATATCAGTGTCAAATGAAAGTTGCTGGTCTCCAGAAAAATGACTGAACTGTTGACAGTCTTATGCGACAGATCGAATTAACTATCTTATTTTGTTAAAGACTATCTGCCATAACACCTTCAAATTCATTTTTTTTTTCAAATTGTTTACTTTTCTCAAATTGTCTTAGTTCTCTTTAGTTTACAATAGTTTATTGTCGATATAGCTTCTTATTTTACCAATGCTATCTTAACATTTATCTAAATCAATTTTAATTAAAGTTATATCTGAAATTGTTTTATTCGAAATTCTATGAAACAACTACAACAAAATTAAAGGTAAATTTGCAGCTCGGTCTGAATGAGTCAGTGAAAGGTACAATTTCCTTGACATCATCACACCGGTTTAATCAATATTCAATCTTCAAAACAAAGAGTATTTCACGTTATGTTTCTAACAGAATAAAAAAAAATACTAAGATATGGCATGGGGAAACTTTGAACACTTGTTGCTCTGAGTATAAGAATTCTGGAAACGCTTTTTTTATAGATTTGTTTTAATAATTTTTCGAAATGATCTTAATAACAAAGCTATTCTAAGTCTTATATTTAGTGCTTTATCACTTAAAACAATAAACAATAATAATGTAGAAATGAGTGAAATTTCATTTTCAAAAACTGCATGACAAAGCTATGAGTTTTGGAAAATGAATAAATGATTTTTTATGCAGACAAAGGGCCTTATTGCATTCTAAATCCACTACATTGGTTTGTTATTGGTATTTGCAAGTGGTATTCAATTCAAGTTAAGAAATTCAGATGAATATCATCTGTAATTTATTCTTAAATATCATTGTTGCTTATAAAAACCTAAACAATAAAACATAGATTCACGAGAACCTTAAGTAGTTTTCAACATTATTGATACATGCACATTTAAACAAGAAACTCTCTAAGTTCCCAAAGAGCTATTTTCAATTAAAAGACTTACACAAATGACAAGCAATCATGATCCCGCACACATTTGTAGGAATAATAATAGCCCCAAAAACGTATGATCAAATAAGAAATCAATTTAAAACTCAAGATCATATTTCGATTTAACTTTAATAGTACAATGTTTAGAATATGATTGTATATTCAACAATTTTGAAAAGAGGAGGGCTTTTAAGAGTAATGAAATCAAAGTAAAAAGATAAACATTACTGATCCGGTTTATTGAGTCTGGCAAATACTTATTAGAGGTAATGAAAGTTGCAACAGCTCTTATACACCCTAGCATTGTTTTAGGTGTAATGCATCTTCAAAAATCATTATCTTTTAACATTTAAAATGTTTTTTGTTTTTTTTTTTCAGTGCAAAATAAGGTGATTCCGCATTGCCAGCCATGTTTGATTTTCACTTCGTATGTCCAAAGTGAAAGTAGGCCAATATTCATATAAAGACAAAACCTTACGATGTAAATTGATAGACAATTTACAATTACTCTTCCAAGTCTATGTTTTAAGGACATTTAATGAATTGCAAATTTAGTTTAAAGTCTGCTGTAGTGTAAAGGAATGAATTTTTCATGCATCAGATCTTGCAAAATCTTACTTTCAAATAAGTCCCTGTCGGGATTCGAACAAACAGCGGCCTCATTGAAACAATAATTTGTTGTAAACCCTGCATGTTTCCTAACCGCAATACAAATTGTGAAAAAAAACATGCATACGTGCAGGTAAAATATACTTAATTTTTGTCGTTTTTCTCGAAAAAGACACATTTCACTTAAAATAATGACATAGCAAAAAGCATTTACAAATGTGGTGTTTGTTTAAGGGAACATAAATAAGAACATAAATTTATGACCGCCTGTCATGGTCACTGCTTAATTACATATAAATATAGACAACTTGTTTATAAAGCGACAGACACAAGGAAATTTGTAATTGTCATTTGATATTCAAGTTAATGTTATATTAAATAATGAAGCTTAAAGTTTGTTTAAGTTTAATTTTGATGTTACATTTTGTTGTTGCACCACCACCGTATAATAAATGGCGCGATATAAGCATGCAGTCAAGAAGGGCTCTCGGATCAGCTTTTGTTGCAGCGGAAGCACTAGGCGTGACATTCAAAGCCATGATTTCAGCTCAAGAAAGGATAAATGTATGTCATCTTATCATAATTATCTTATTTTATTTGTTCACAAAGTAAAATACACATTAAAGCATATATTTTAAATGAAAATATTTTACATCTGAGATAAATTTCACATATTTTTTAATAGTTTATTAAGTGCATATATTTATTAGAATTATGATGTTGTTGCTTAACCTGTGAGCAGTTCTTGTAGTTGTGTAGGACAGAAAATCAAAATGTACTCGGGCATAAGTAATTTTACTTGAGCATTAGTAATTTTCGTCGAACATTAGTAATTTTACTCGGGCACTGGTAATTTTACTCGGACATTCGTTAGAAACACACATGCATTGTTGTCATGACTTATTTGTTTCTTTTTTCTCATGTGACCATTTGTATTTGACTGTTTGTTGAGAGATACTATTTGTTATAGAATAAACGATAACGATTTTCTTTCAACAACATGTAACCCGTCTGTTGTACACACATGTTATACAAATACGAAAAAAGAATTTTCTGTTTTGTCTGTAATGACATACTGAAAATAACATATTGTTTTAATTAAAATAAAATTCGTATCTTAATATTTTTTACTTTTATAGCTTAGTAAAATCTCCTTAATTTAATTTGAACGTATTCTATTATACGTGTTGTCATTGTAAATGATAATACCCAAGTATTCTGGAAATAAATATTTTACACTAATAAATACTTAGAATATTTTAAATCTTGATCATTAATTTACATAATCATTTTATGCTATGTATGTAGTTATTTTAATCCCGCATGAGTTGTTTTACTCGAGCATTGCTTATTTTTCTCGAGCATTCGTTATTCTACTCAAACATCATTTTTTTCTTTACCATTATAAAGTTATTTTATGCAAACTTAAATTAATTCAATCGAGCATTATTTATTTTTACGCGCATTTCTTATTTAATGGGGCATTACTTATTTTACTCGAATTCTTTGTAGAAAATGAATACCATATTTACACATATTTTGTCTTTCAGCCAAAGCCAAATACTGACGAATACCGGGTGAAGTTCAAGGCTCTAGACAGTAAAGGTCTTATAGTAAGTATGAAATATAGGGGCCAAACCGACCCCTATACTACTTCAGTATACGAAATGCAAAGAAAAAAATTACAAAATTTCGATTTAAATAATCTTCGATTTTAGATATCTTAATACCAAAAGTAAAGATAGCAAATTATCACTCCGCTACTTAAATACTTGTTATATAATGTGGCCTTTGTTTTGTGGCCGTCAGCTTTATTGGTTGAAACATCCCACAATAATACATTTCTTTCTAAATGACGATAATTTTATGTTTATAACACAGGCTATAATCTATAGGTTATATATTTGCGTTTATCTTGACTAGCATTATCTTAAATAAAACTGATTATTAGAATGATTACATGCATGTATGTCCGTTGTATTAAACATTTTTTCTTTTATTTTCAGAAACACTGTCAAGCGGATGTGCTGTGGAATTTTAAAGCTGCACTTATTAGAACAGTTTTAAATGCACATTGCTGGTGTCCCAAATATTGGCAGAGTTGATGGCATAATACTTTTGACAACAACATTTCTATTTTATTAATTAATCTGTCATGACACCTGCAACTTTATTTTCAAAATCGTTTTCTCAATTCAATTTTTCTATATTTGTTACATCTGTGAGTTGTTTGTTTAATCTAAGACATATTTTACCTTGAGGTTAAGAAAATGTTATGATCACTAAGTATAATTGTCTATTGTGACGTCACAATATACCATATATAAATATATGGCATTTACCTTATTCAGTGTATCCATGTAAAAATAACAATTACATGAAATAATCATGTATACAAATGTAAACATGGCATATGACTTGAAATAAAACAATAAAGTTCATGAAATTATCTTATATTTAATGATTGTATATTAAAAATCAGTTACCTTTTGACACACTAATTACAAAATAGAAAAGTGAAAATATCATGAAGTCAGATTCTATAAAAAAAGTGAAATACTTGAAATTAGTTTAAAGGCACGTTGTTTCAGAACCGAAACAATTTTGTCTTATAAGAATAGGCAAATATGAGTTTTATAACGTCTGAATAGTCAAGGTTTGGTAGTTTTAGGGCATGCTAGGTATTGTCGTTATTTGTCATTAAAGTAGTAAAATTAGAAACAAAGTAACATTTTGACTTACATATAAAATACTAAATCACTTCATCTGTACTTTTACCAAAGAGAAATTGTGGCAAAAGGTGGTTAAGGTAATTTTGCTAATGAGTAATATTTTGGATACTATAATCAGAACACCTTAAATAAAAATAAAGTTTTGAATAATAAATATAAAAGCATATCTGAAGCATAATGGGCCTTTAATCCATGGCCAACTATTGTTTAATCAAGACGACAGTACTTAAAATCATATAACCTTGTGTGCATTGTAATACCAATGTAATTCCGTATGCATCTAATATACTCACCGATTGATTGTGGCACATGTACCAGATATAACGTATACGTGAGATGTATTCATTAAAAATGAAAAAAAAAAAACAACATCAAATTAGATGAAACAAATTAAGTCAGTAATTCTAAAGTTATGTCATATAAAAATGAAAATTAAAAAGTATAATGTCCTAATTTAGATGTTGTTTGTTTAATATCTTTATATTTTAACAATCTATGAACAAGTATTAGCATTTCCAAAAATGCTTGGAATCGCCGTTCAGCCATGAATATAGAAATAATATTTCCTTTCTTGCCTAATACTTTATTGTATGTGGTCAACACATAAAACCAACAAAAAAACTTGATTTACTCTACCATTCCGTTCCTGTCAAGAGGAGATGTCACAATCGCTTAGACTACGTGCATCAATCGACAAAAAGAATTAGCTTCTTGCGTAATTAACAACAGTTACTTGCTACACATTAAACTTGATGTCTGTGATTCTATAAATGGAATTTACGTTATATACTCCGTCGACTTCTTTGCGAAGTTTTTTTTTCTGAAACAGACTACGTTGTATAAATTAACTTACTTGCCATATGCGATAATGATGCAATAACAACACGCATAGTATTAAACTCACCCGGAAGAAACCATTTATAAAAGGTTTTTTTTTTCTTTAAGTGCAAATTTTGAAAGAAATCCTAATATAGTCTTTTAAGACTTTATTCTTAAATCAGAAAGGACATGTAGTAAGAATATTGCAATTTGCTGTGTTTATCCTGCAAGAGACTAAAGACTGGTACTGAGTTCGTACATTGATGATGGTATTTTTCAGTTGTACGAATAAGTAACCCGACAAAACATGGCGGTAGGGCGAGTCCATTTAAGCATACATCAATGAAGTTTTTGACGTCCATTGTGTAATCATGAGATACTGAATTATTCGCTTTGATTGGCTAAAGGCATGCTGTGTACAGGTAGGACTGTTCAAATCTATCGCCGTCCAGTAACGGCGATAAAAAAAGTTAAACGTTTTCAGTTGTATAATTTGTCTGGTTTTCTTCAACAGAACAAAATGGGGGTAATGTTAAAATAAGGAAACAATGTTTCATCAGAAATGTCATTTTGATGACACTTTGAAGGCTGTGCTCATGCAAATCCACGCCCAATATTGGCGTCTCTACTTAATAATATTTTCAACGGTGATGTACTGTGCCAGATCACGGTCGGTAGATAACCTAATCACTTGATTCAGTCGGGACATTTGTTACGACTCCAGACCATTCTATTTGAAAGACCCTATTTTAGAGCAAGAAATTACTGAAAAGATACACATAGAAACAATAGAAAATACCCTGTTTCTTTGATAAGCACTTGTGAATCAAATAAAATATGGTGTTAAAAAATATTATTTTATTTTAATCTTTGAAAAAATACCATTTACAAAACCTTCACTACAAAAGCCTTAAAACGGTAAATTATACGAATTGAATGTTTGCACATTGAAAGTAAACACAATCAAACCTAGATTAATGGTCTATACGTTGTTTACTGTTAATATTCAAATTTGATGGTACGTGTTTTATATATCAAAATATTTGAAACCTGAACTTGCCTTCTTGTTTCCCATAATAGTCGTCTGTGGAGATATTCTTGTCAAGTTGTATCTTGTGAAATTGAGTAGAAGCAATTGGTTAAATTTGTATAATATTTGTACATTCCTGAAATATTAATTATTCTTACTTTGACATTCGCTATTTACACTTTGATGGACATAATATCGCGCTTGAAGAGGAAATAAACATAATTATAATATACAATGTATTAACAACTGTTACATTTTTATTGTCATAAAGTTCCTCTATAAAGACAGTGCTGTATGTTCAAGCACTGAAAGTTAAAGGAAAAGTACAAATATTCAAAACAGACAAAACAACAGTGTCTTTATTCTCGATACAAATAATTTTACAATAATAGGCATTTCATGAGTTATGCAAATGTATCATTATAATGATTTCATATTTGGATAACAATTAAGGCTTTGTTTAGAATAAACGGATACATAAACTTCATGTTGGGGTTGCGTTCATTGAACGCCACATTTCCTTGTAGATCGTGTTTACCATATTTCATAACATTACAAACATTCAATCTGTCACCAAATTTGCAAGGATTCATACAAATAGAAGACTTTCATTTTGAAAATGAAATCTTCCTTTGTTCATTCACTGCTGTAGCACACAATGAAACAAAAATATTTAATATAATTCATATTGAATCGCATACTTGTTTGCATACAGACCTTTATACATTTATTTGATATGATTTATATTTTTGTATAATATAAAAGTAATAAAACAAGATGATAACAGTATTGTACAGTTTCTGTGAAGAATTGTAACATGTAACATTTTATAGTTCGGTTACATATAGACATATTTCGGAATAAAAACAGTATAATAGACTTCCGAGGGATCACATTTTGTTTCCAGATTTTTATACTTCACAACTGCAGGTGTCAAGTGCTGTGTGGCAGCTGTAAAAAGTTGCACCGTACTTCACTTCAGTGTTGTTGTATTTTTCTGGTCCTTCGGGATCATTGATGCCAGCACTATTAAGTGTTGAGTATTAAGTACCGCTCAAGCCGATGCTAGGGGGCGTGAGGGATGTTGCACTTATTCAGTATCCCTCATGTACAGACTCAATCAAACCGAGTCTGCAATTCTCTCGTAATTTTATTGTGGTTAATGCTTACGAGGGATCACACTTTGATTCCAGATTTTCATTAAACATTAAAAGTAACATCATTTTTGAGTTATCAGCCTTTGAATTTTAAAAGTATGCGGAATGCCACAGAATTATGCTCATTTTCTTACAATTTTTATTTTTGCCCGTAGCTGACATTCTTTTCAGTATTAAACCAAATTTTAAGAAATAGAAATAAGTAGTTTGTTTATTTTTTCTTATTTATTTCTAAACATTTTCATATTTTTAACAAAGTTTTAGTCTTTATACTTTTACTTAAAAGATTTTTTTTTGTATTGTAGCCAAAGAATAAAATGGAAACATTTACACGTAGTTCAAATTAGGTTTGATAGACTTATGTATAAGTTAGTTGTCCATTGTAAATTCTTGCAATAACAAAAAATATAAAAAAATTTCAACGGCAGAAAAATTAAAAACGAGCTCGGGATCCTTAACTTTTTTCTTTCTTCCAATTGATTATCTTCAATTCTGCAACTATAAAAATTTACAACCAAGAAATGTTGTCAAAAAGATAATTCCTAACATAATATAATAATTAGTCTCATCATGATATAATAATTCATCTCATTTGTTCCACCAAAAGTTATTATCCAGCATCATTCATATGCAGGTCACGTCCATACTATCATCCACCAATATCCATCTCTCTTAATCAGAAACAAATGTCATGTTACAATGCTGCTGGCTAAATTATTTTTTTTTAATTTAAATATGCAAAGTTTAAATTAATCCTTTTTACTTTTATTTTTTAATTGCATTTTTTAAATTTTATTTTTATTTTGCTGTATGTACATTTGTAACCAGAACAACCGCCTGTAATTTATATTTTGTCTGAAAGGTAAGAAACGCAAATGTAGCTATATTTTTTAAAATAAAAACATAATTGGCAAATCAGTAACTTTTTTTGGAAACAATAAACAGAACACATTAAACAATAAATAAAAATGTTGTAAAATAAATATAACAGTACTTCCGGGGAATAATGACCACTTATGACATCTCCAATTAGTGCTTATCAAGACGGCAGTACTTTTATAAAATAATTTTATTGCAATATAATTCTACGTAAAGTACATAAATGCATCTAATATACTGGCAGATTGATTCGGTGATAGACTATAAGAATCTTACACTGGCTGCCGATACAGACCGAAATATCTAGCTCGAGGGTAACTGTTTACGGCGGTAACGAGGCTCTGCCGAGTTTCCGCTTAAACAGTTACCCGAGAGCTAGATATTCCCGTCTGTACCGACAGCCGTTGTTTGATTCTTTTTCTTGCATATTACATACCAATTATTTTCAGAACAGAAATTACAAAACCTGGTATTTTCATTACGCACTTGTTTCTTATAGTAGCATATGAACTTACAACAAGGACAATATTGGAGCCTAAGACAAGGTCTATCTACGCTGAGCGATTCTCTGCAAAAAATAAAGAAAAAGAAGAAAAGAAAGCGTTTTTAGATGAAACTATTTTGCAGACTTTACCTGCGTGAAGAAACAGGTTTATAACAGTTTGAATCTAAAACAATGTTTTACAGTCAATAGCTATTTGTAATGGAAGAGGAAGAACTTTTAATCTCTTATTTTTCGGAAAAACTTTCCTATTAGTAACGAATAATTTGTAACGTTTAATTCAGGTGGAATAGTAGTTTACAAATACCTATACTCTCCTTGTGTGCAAGC